ATGCGATCACATTCACTGAACCGCTACAAATGTGTTCATTGAGAGAAATCATACACATTCGAGATGTAAATTTTCCCCTTTGATGTTCTAATCTAGTTGTATACACTTAATTTTATAGCAGATCGCTTTGACCAACATATTTAGTTTAATAATGCTTCACATCAAAGGTGAAGTGCTTTAATTAAGAATTTAAGAGGTTATAAATTCCTCGTTCTATTAAAAGTATTTTAATTTATCATATTCATTGATAAACATAGACAACTATGAAAACATCGCATGCAAGCTATCCTTGTACAACTAAAGCGATCAGATGTTATAAAAAGATAAAGTCAATCTTATTATAACAAATAATAATAATGCTTAAATTATCCAACTGATTTATTTTTAAAACGACTACGACACAATTCTATTTCTCTTGTCAGCTTAAAGACTGCTTATTCAGTTTAGTAATTAATATCGTGCTTATGATGTGATCAGATCTATGTTGTTGTGATATGTTGTCAGTAGGTACGTAACGACAGAGTCATGTGTCTATATTTATTAATGTACCCGGACACTGCGTAAATGCTCGTAAAAGCAACCGACAAAAGAATAGGCAGTCTGCTGTAAGTCCAGAACGTAAATACGTGCGTGGAAAATTTCATTCACCTTTCTGTGGAGTCATTGAGGCGTGATCGAGTAACAGAATTAAATGAGACCGGAGTTAGCTTTATGATTAGTAAAATTCTTACTTTATTGATCATATTTATATACTTCATTTTACCTGTCTACAACATATAGAGTTTATTTATGTTAGCTATTAACTTTTTTATTTTATTACTTGCGGTACACCCTCGCTTTGCTCGGGTTCACTTCTAGGAAAACAAAAACATACTTATCCCACGGGAACCGTAAATTTTTCCGGGATAAAAAGTAACCTGTGTGCTATTTCAGACTATAATCTATCTCTGTGCCAAATTACATCCAGATCCGTTCGGCCATTCTGACATGAAAGAGTAACAAACATCCAAACATACCCACAAACTTTCACGTTTATAGTACTTAAATGTATTATATTATACAGATAATATTAATATAATATAGTTTATATTGTGGAATGTTTTTAGCTAAGCTTATTATTATTTATTGATTGAGAATAGCTGCAGGTGCAGACTAAAAAGTGAGATGCAGGTAAGTGTGATGGCACTTGAAGGGGCGCGGCAGTGTGCAGCCTGTGGCCTGCAGCGTACAGAGTGCAGCCGCCGGCCGCAGGGTGACCGGCGGTCGTGCGATCGACGGATGCCGGGTGCCATATTCGGTCAGTGCACACTGTTGTTTACCGACGCGGTATCGCGAGGCCGCGTGACGTAGCGTCTAGACGGCGACCGCCCCCGCCCCCGCCGCCCGCGCCCCGCTGTCATGCACTCACTCGAACACCGGTTTATCTTTTCAAACGGTAATGCTGCAACATAAAGCCTCGGATGCATCGATGATCGGCCTAGACACGAATTAGGTAATCGAGCCGACATGGATATCGAAATATTTCACAAAGAATTATAGACAACAATAGTGACTTTATCAGTCTTGATTTATTTTCGTACAATACATTGATAAATAAAACTTTATCTCCAGATAAAATAATGATGATATTAAATAAGTACACATTAGTAGGTAGTAGTAGTAGTTAGTTTTTTAAATAATGGCAAATTTAAATTAAATTATTATTTTCAATTAATCTTAACTTTTTCAAATTACACATAGATCAATTGTGGCTTAAATTATAATTAATATATTATGATTTTTTCTTTATGGTTATAAATATAATAATGGCAACACTAAAAATGTAGATTAATAATTAATATTTTTTAAAATTGTAATAATTATAATAATAACAGCTCAAATTAAATAAATAATATTCTATATTCAATTATAAAGCTAATTAAAATTATATAAAAATGTTTTAAGTTAAAAGTTAAAATATTCTAAGGTACTTTAGTACCATTTTTCAATTTTTTGAATTCATTTTGTTAATTGTGGGTAGGCTGTCTGTAACAACTATATAATACCTTAGAGACATCTAACACCTCAGTCTCTCCCGTGACCATGATTGCTGTAAAGCATTCGAAACGTCGGGAAACAAAAATACAAATAAATCCGCGACAAAATCCGAAAAGATAGTTTTATTTAAAATGTCAAATATTCGCGTAAATCTAAGAAAGTATTAAGTACACATTAGATTTTTAAATAATATTTTCTCTATTTATTGATTAATAGTTTTCCTATGGGCTAAGATACAACTAAGTTGTTATCATCATCTTTTTAATACTAAGTACTAACGTATTAATTATATACCTGGTACTGTTACAATAACAAGTGCGAAGAAGAACATTATAATAATTAGAATAATACTTTTTAAAACTTTTTCATTTCTCATCTTAACCTATACTATATATTTAAGATTTTTAGAAAACTTGCAATAAATAATAATACAAATAGGAGCCATTGTCGTCCCAAAAACTTGTAAGCCATTTCAGAACACTATTAGAGAAGCTGCTCTAATAAGAAGAGTCCAAAACAAACCAATTGTTCATTCGGTTCACATTTATTTATACATTTCAAAAACAAGTTAGACAGGATGTCTATCGTCTCGACACAATTTGTAATATTCTTCGTGCTGAATAAATTTTATGTAAACAACCTGCATTCTGTAGATTTGCATATCAATATCTTCCCATTAATTACATGTAACTCTCTAATTAAACACGACCTACTGAGAAACATAAGCATAATATGTGACTGTTAACAGTTTCGTATTACAATAGTATAGAACTAGCATTGCCCGCGGCTCCGCACGCGTTCAGATGACCAAAAACCAAATTCTTAGGTTTTACATATTAGTATACTCTTATATTGCAGTTTTTGTATTTTTTCTCAGAAATGAGATATTTTCCCGCGGTAAAAAGTATACTATATATACTATATAAGTATATATATATTGACCCGGATAACCAGCTATCACCATGCCAAATTTCATCAAAATCCCTCCAGTGGATTTTCTGTGATGCGGTAACAAACAGACAGACAGACATAGACAGACAAAAATTCTAAAAACTATAGATTCGGACTCTGTATTGATAATAATGTCTATTTCAATTAGATTTTCCAAAAAATATTTAATGTACAAATTCGACTTAGTTACAATTTTATTATATGTATAGATTTAATGAGTAAGAAATTTATATTATAATGTTAATTCATTTTCATTGTGTAATCAATATTATTTGTCATTAATTCAATAACAGAATAACATATATGCAATAATATAACCTGGTACTCAATATGATAACAAATTCTGTTTGTTACTTAAATTACTCCCATAATAAAGACAGACATAAGTATTCCAAGCTGAGTTGTAAATATATTTTTATTTACAAAATTGTTCCCACATACTAACTATATGATTTAACAGGCTGAAATTCTTTATGCATTAGCAATCACGAACATATATGTATGTACATGTAATGTATATCTAACACATGATATAGATAACACATGAAGCACACCTATTTAGCTGATCTCGTATACCTCGTTTTACGAAAATTATATTATGTATTTATTGTAATATAAAAAATCTCCTACTTCTAATTAATATACAGGGTATAGTACAGTGCAGTAGGCAGTGGTAGGCCAGTAGTAACGCGCTCGTATGAGATACCGAGTGAAGCGGGTTCAAATCCCGTGTCTCGCACCTCTACTATTTTACGCAATTATGTGCGAATCATTTCCAACATGATTACCAATTGTCTTACGGTGAAGGAAAACATCGTGAGGAAACCTGCATGTCTGAGAGAACCTAGCAAGTTTTCGAAAGACATGTGACGTCCGCCAACCCGCACTTGGCCAGCGTGATGGACTATGTGAATACAACGAATATACCTACTCCAAACGCATCCAAGAAAGAATAATTTGTGACTTAAATTAAATTTAAAAATATGTTTCATTTAGGTAAATTAATTAAACAAAATATATTTAGGATGCGAATGTGAAAAAGTTATCAGAGGCCGACACGTCAACGGCGGGGCGATATCCGGCACCAATGGGTAGCTGGCGGAAGGATTGAAATATTAAAACTGCGACACAACTCTGTAAAGATATATGTTATTTTCCGTTTCAATTAGATATTAATATTATACTAGTGCTTAATGCGAAGTCGCTACTTTTTTAACAATCACAAGTACAAAAGTCTATATAGTACAAAAATTATATAATTTCAAATTAGTTTTCATAAATAGGGATTCCACTCATTTATTACAAAAGCGTAAAATGATAAAATTATCAAGTTATCAAGAAATAGATAGACTTTATTTTATAAGATTTTATCTATTTAAGTCTGAGGCAATTTTTCATTCAACTTTTAATTGATTTAACACGTCATTCAAAACTTTTCACACTTCTGTTAAACTAGTTTTTGCACGTGGCTCTGGTTGCATTGAAAGCAGAGCACAAAATTTGTCCCTTATATAATGCATTCTATGTCCTTTAAAAATTTCAATAATTAGACCAACATGGTGTAAAATATATATACATATATATGTATATATATATATATAAATAAAAGATATTCTTTTGCAAAATTGATATAACTATTAAATGTGCAACTTTGAACCTGTTATAATTTTATTACAGTTACATACAATTTGATAGATGACCTTGAAGTTAAATTAACTTCCAATCTAATCTAACATCTAAAAATTATATGAATCTCATTTTGAGTAATATTCTGGCTGTAGACATCATTGTCTAGCCTACTTTTTTTATTGTATGTAAATATTTTAATGTTACCTTTAGATTAAGATACCGATACCAAGATAGAACCGCGTTATCCATAGTCACAGACAGAGTGACAGTAACAAAGTAAATGAGTTAAAAAGTAACTTATATGAGGAAGACTCGTAGTATTTTTTTTCTTTTATTATTTACTGCTTATCTACCAACTCATGACGACAATATAACTGCGATATATGCGTACGACACAGCCCTACCATCTCTCCATGAAGACCCAGCAAAAACATGTGCTTGCAGCAACTAAACTACAAGATCATGTTGATGAAGTAGAGAAATGGCTAAACAACTGGCGGGCGAATCAAAGTAAATCTATTCACGTAACTTTCACTCTCAGAAAACAGACCGTGTACAATGAGGATATTCCCCAAACTGAGGACGCGAAATATCTTGGAATACATCTAGATTCTAGATCGAAGGCTTATTTGGAAAAAGCAAATCTGGATCAAGCGCAAACAGCTGGACACAAAATCAAAATAGCAGCATAAAGACCATACTGAAACCAATCTGAACTTACAAGATTCAATTGTGTGGTACTGCTAGTAACAGCAACATCGAGTTTCGCAAAAGATTTTAGAGCAAGATACATACTACGTGAGCAACAAATACTTACATTAGAATCTAAATATCAGTACCGTCAAACAAGAGACTGTTAAACATAGTAAAAGCTACCAAAGTAGAATATCAACTCACGTCTATCTACTGGCCTTAAAGCTACAGGGTACAGGAAATACCTCACACAGCCGATTCAAGCGGCATGGTGTCCCTACGCTAACCGCGAGATTCAAATAATTCAAAATAAGAAATTAAAAAAACCCTTCTGCAAATGATGACATAGAATTCAAATATTAATACCAAGTGATTGGCTTATTGTGTCAACACAGATCGCAAGATACAGAAAAAAAAAATAGAACAACTCTCTTAAGGATTCGGACAACACTAATTAGTTTATATATTATCTATGCGTATCTAACAATCTTTAATTATTTATCTAAAACAATTTATGCAATAATATTTACAATCAATCCAAATGGATTTGAGTCAAAAATTTACAGTCTGCTGTTATACTTAGTTTCTATTAAAAACTTTTTATTCAAGCTCTTTCGTTACGGTCAGCTGCGTCGTCTACTTTTTAACATACCGCGGCCGCGACAAATATCACGACCTCCAAGATTTGTTGTTACGAGCTATTATTAAAACAATTAGCATTATATTTTAGTGCTTTTATTTATAAAAATCCGTCTAGTCTTTAGCTTGTCGACAAATGAAAATAGACAGCAAACATACAATTAGTTGTATTCTCAGTAATAGGTCGTAACTATAGATAACTAACAAGCTTCATCAAATTCGAGTCACTCCATTAGATATTATGTAGAATTCACGGAACATTAGAAATGCTGATCAAGATTGAGATTACCCTAATGAGAATTAATAAAGCTTACTAAATTTATGTTAGTGTTTGACGTGTAACGGCTGTTTAAATTAGCGGTAGATTTATGCAAAGAAATGAGGTAAAACTAGAATATAAATGAAGTAATTGCAAACATTTAACTTTCTTATTATGGTGACATAAATATAGTTGGTATTAATCAGTCAAGAAATTCGAAATGACTAGAAGTTTATATATATTTACTAACGACTCACCCTCACTCCGCTCGGGTTTATTCCTAGTTACGTTTTAACATTTAGTATAGATTCCTCAGAGATGAGATACCTATCATCATACCAAATTTCATCAAAATCTGTCTAGTGATTTACTCGTGATGCGGTGACAGACAGACAAAAATTCTGAAAATTATAGATTCGGAAATATCGATAATAATGATTATTTCAATAAGATTTTCCAAAAAATATTTAATGTACAGATTCGACTAAGAATTTTATTGTATGTATAGATGACCACCTTTTTTAACCTTAGCGCCGCCTGAGCACTGTAAAAAATACCGCTCCATTATGGACATTTTGCATAAAATGGATAAAGCCTCTAATCTAAAAGTAACTAATTTTTAGCTCTTCAAACATGAAAACGAACGTTCTGCGCTACAGTTTTTTACAGCTAATGTGATATATATTAGATATGCTATTTCCACGTTAGGAAAATCAGTGCAAAGCTCGTCCGCACGCAGAAGTTTCCTCTGAAATCGTGAATTTTGCCGTCCCTGAATTTTTCCGCACGTGACACTAGCCCTGAGTGCTCCTAGTGTGCGCTGTTTATGACAACAATAACTTGTAATAAACAATAAAAAAATGTGTATTGGGTAACCATCATCAGCATTTTTATTCTCATTCATAACACGACTCAGAGACAAATGACCTAGACAGTTAGTTATCACGTCTGTCTGGGGCATAATTGTGTGCTAGACAATTAAACTATCCGCATTCGACGCTACTAAAGCTATTTTATGTGGTGCCAATCTCCTATGTTGTTTAAAACTGTAATTCTGTATTTCAAATCAGTCTACAGATATTTTGTTAACGTTTTATAATCTTTCATTTTTAAGGATAAAAATCAAAGTACATCTTTTATGCTAAAGTAGAGATAATTTAACAAATTATAGAAACCAAAAAAAAGGAATTGAACACATACATTATATTATATGTGTGTGATGATCTAAAGTACCTAGTAATTGATTAGAACGGACGTCACATGCCTAATCCAGACGCACATTATCTATTTTTATAATTTAAAATCTTATGCCATTACAAAGAGGTAAAAATTTATTTAGATGCTTGTATTAAAGGTCTAATACATAAACCACTGAACTCATATATCACTGAGCAGAGAACAGAGTTCTTTGTTACTCTCGAACAAACATATCGTGTATATTTTATCAGTATTTTCATAAAAATATGTTACGTTTTATCTCGGAAAATAATGGATTTTCAAAAGAATTAAAATTCTGTTCTTATAGGTAGGGTAGGGCGGGGCAGATAGGTCCAATTTCGGAATATTGCCTCGTACGTACGTATAATACTATTTAACTATAAGGATTCCGGAAAAGATCCAAACATCAATTAGTAGCGTAGTCCTTCCCTTAGACATAATTACTAATGAATATGATTAGTTTATGACTATTCGCCAGATATCACAGCTTTAGAAAGGCAGTTCTAGTGACACATCATGAAAAATGTTCCAAACAAGTTGGGAGGCATTTCTAAGAAAATGTTGCAAATGGTCACCAAATTTGAAGCGCTAAGAATTGACTTTATTTTTGATGGTGTGTAATAAATGCTATGCTAGCAGTCTTATAAATCATCTAATTACTACCCAAGTATTATATATAAAAATCAGCTTTTATACTATAACGTAAGTAGAATTATGATTTCATGAAAAGGGTGTCTGGCAAGGGTTTGCCACGATGTTAAGTGTCTGGCATTGAATGACGTGATTTTTAATAATATTCTGAAGGTAATACCAAAAAATCACACTTTATTATTTGACGAATTTAGATCAGTATTTTACACACCTTTAGTACTGTGTACCCGCCAAAGCCACCATAGCCTGAACTTCATAATGGTCCATCGTTCTTATCTGTGTTGGGAGCATGCGCTGACAAACTGTCAGCTTTTATAAAATGACGAAGGTCTGGCGTTCATAGGCTCTTAGGCAAATCGTTGGGATCTAAAAGGATAAATTGTCAACTCGGTAGGTTAAGGTTTTTTTTTCATGTAGAAAAGTTGCACCTCAAAATCACTTATTTCACATTAGAAAATAAAAAAGTGGTAGATATCCGTACAAACCGACAGTAGTCCGACGAATAATATATTTTTTATTAATCCGTATATCGGACGAATAGCAACAGCCATAAAGATAATTATTAATTACTATTCAATTATAAAGATTAAATATTATATAAATTTACATTTCTTTTCTTCGAAGAAACTAAAACAAATTAGAGAACTGAGATAAAATACGATCGTGTCCAAATTTATGAAAACACATTTCGTTTCTATATATCTGTAAACTTAACTAAATATACAGGTTGGAACAAATGGAAGAAAAGTACAAAATATTCCTTTATTTTAATAAATAGTAATAAATGCATTTATATTTGAAAAAAACTTACCTGAACAGGTAATAGAACCAACTAAATATCCAGTGAAATGCACTACTTAAAATGCACTATTTTATTGAACAAACCGATGGAGTCTATAATAAGGATAAGAGCTCTCAAACATTGTGTCTTACAATTAAAGTTTTTTTTTTAATTTTTACTCGGACCGATTACCTGTTCAGGTAACCTTTAAAAAAAAATTAAATGCAGTTATTCTTAATTTAAAAATTAAAAAAAACTGATAACTTCAATATTTAAAGTACATTTCGTCCATGTCCAACCCATTTGTTCCATCCTGTATATACTTTATTAATTAGTGTCTATTAAACATGTTCGGACGCATTAAATTAGTCCAATTAGTGAATAAATGCCACATAGAATAAGATTTGTAGTGAGTTATTGATACCCATTACCCATTGGCAGCGACTTTTAACCTGCATAACTTTACGGACGTAATAGAATAAGTTATTTTTAGAATATATTTGGCTTACTCAAATAATAACTAATATGTATTCTTGAATTGAAGTTAAACATTTCAAAACTTTCGAAACTGAGTATGAAACGTTTTTGAAGTCTCAGTTGTTTGACAAAATTTTATTTAAAACTACGTTTTTACTACGTTACTTACGTTTTGACGTTTTGTATAGATTTCGCAGAGATGACGTATTTTCCACAGTAAAAAGTCTACTCTCTATCATCATACTAAACATCAAAATCGCTCCAGTGGTTTTTCCGTGATGCGGTCACAGACAGACGCGTTTCGTTGCGTTCATAATTATAAAGTAGATAGGAAAAAGAAAAAATGACATTTTCACGTTTTTCCGTAAAAAAGTCCAATTTTTCTCTTGATAAGAACCTTCCTCGGACTTCATGGAATATTTAAAAAAAAATTGCCAAATTGGTCCAGCCATTCGCGAGTTTTACGCTTACGAACACATTAAGCCATTCATTTTTACTTATAAGATTGAAAACTATAGGTATATCATTCGAAATTTCACGCAGAAAAGTGAAACAAAATTGTATTTATGACTCGTTATTCTTAAAAATGAAAAGGTAATGTATATTATGAATAACTATAGGCTCATCCTCGCTTAGCTCGGATTTGCCTCTAGAAAATAAAGGACAAATGCATCGAATATTTTTTTGGGATTTTTATCCCGGAATTACATTTAAAATGTAGCCATGTGTTTATTCTGATGTATGAACTACATTAACGTAAAGTTTCATTAAAATCCATTCAGTAGTTTTTGCGTGAAAGAGTAACAAACATCTATACCTACAGCTATATAACCAGACATCGATACCTCCTCACAAACTTTTGCCTTATAATAATAGTAGGTTATATATAGGATATAGAAATATAGCAATTTAGTGAAAATATTTAAACTTCTCTCTGTACTCGCTTTAAAGTTAGCAAAGAGTCAGTTAATTTGTTATATTTTTTAACAAATATATGTAGGTGCTACGTTTAGATGAAGATTAATGTATTGGTTAGTGGAGGTCACCTGATTAAACGAAGGCCATGCATGCGTACGGACGTCTAGGCTGACGCGCCCGTCTAGCGTCTAGCCGACCCGCCAGAAACACAATGGACAATGCTAAATTATACCTACGCTTATAGGTTCAAAAGCAACTGTCGGTTCAATACAGGTTCAAGGTTGGAGATGATACCCGACTCATTTAAAGATAATATTCGAACTCACTAGTTTGATGAGTAAAGTATATATCTACTATACAAAAAATATATATCTTACTTTTAAAAAATAAAAACATATTTTTACTTTTATACCAACTTAATTCAATTTAAAATAGATATGACATAAGTGAACCTAATACTTAATCAACATATTAAAATTACAAGAATACTTATAAAAGTAAAAACTTTAATACAATACAAAGCAAGAAATGCACACTCTATCGATTGAGGAAAAAATGCGAATGCTTAGCAAAGCTTCATTAGCGGTGTCGAATGTGCACGCGCGTGCCGATTACATACATGCGAATGCGTCGACCTGCGACGGGAGAGATCGTGCCAGACGGCTACCGAAAGTTGGGTTTGGCGCTTTTTTGCTGCGCGGGCGCCGCGGCCGGTAGAAACGCGAGCGCCGCAAACACCGAGGTCGATGAGCCCCGAGCACTCCGCCGCGCCCCCCGCCAACCCTCTCGACCAGTTCCAACACGAGGTGAAGCGCCCGCAGCCGCTCACCCTACATACCTACCACCTGCCAGACACTTTGTGAGTATAACATGTGAAACCTACTTGCCACGCCAGCAGGAAACAAGGCTGGACAAAGAATAACTATATTCAAATATTCAATTGATTGACGTGACTGCTTGATTAATTAATGTCTACTGCATTCAAAAATCGGCATAACTTAACGATTTAACATAGATCAGAGGTCAATACGATGTTCCCTGATTTTACATATTATTATAAAATATATAAGTATTTCTGTACAAAAATAAAAACCAGGCCAAAAAACCGGATATGTTGTGGGTCCCAATACCACATTTCTGTATTTACTTATAAGTTCGCATTCGTGACCTCCTGTACAGTGCAGTATTATAAACATAAGTTGGCTCACTATAACAAGGTTCTATGTTACAATTTTAGTACTTATTTCGTTATTAATCCTACAAGGTTCTATGTGTCATTAGCTACAGTTTTGCAAAAACAAACCACTAGATAGCGGCACTATAACTACAAAATATTCAATTTTACATAGTTCTATGTTGTTTTTTTACGATAACAAAATAACGAAGTTCTATGTAAAAATTACTAAACTTCATTAAAATTAACATAGAACCTTGTAATAGTAAGCCAACGTTACTACTTATTACCCGTAGGTACATTTTTACATATATTAATGTCTACGTCACTATTACAGAAGAGTGCCTTTTGTGTATTAAAAAGTCCCAATAAAATCATTTTAGCTTCTACTCTATACTCGTACGCGCGTTCGAACAGATATTAGGCCAACAAATATTGTAAAACTCGTTGATTTAAAATCTTTTATAGCCCCAAACATGCTCAAAACAAATTTTATCATAAAACTGTCACCACATTACAATTTTATCATACTAATCATATATCATAATAGATCGTAGACTGAAAGTAGGAAAAATTTTCAACTTAACGTTATTTATTGGCTTTTGAACATATTCAATATTTACGTACCTATTCAATAGTTCATTGCATTGTTGTTGCTTACAATACAAATTAACATTTCCATAAGGACGATTTTGCAAAGAGATTAATTTAGATAGTAAATTGACGTTTATTGTAAGTATAGGACTGATATGATGTCGTGGACATTTTATATTTAATTCGCCTAAGTGCTGTTTTATATTGATTTTGCGCACCTCTTATAGCTTTTTAATTTACCAATGTTGTCTGGAATATCTAATAATAATCTGAATAAGAAGGATATTTTCCTTCCTATTCTTATTCCCTAAACTCTTACAAGTCGTAACTTCCGTCATGATATGCGCTGGTAAAGAAAAATACCTATATAAAATCACTGTTTCAATTACTTCCAGAAAATTATTATAAGATAGTCTTGTTTAACACTGTAAAGGTGTCTGCCCACTACGCCGCCTCATACCATGACCGGGCTATGAACGTATTAGGCACGGAAACGAGCATGGCACGGACTTCTCGCCGACAATTCAATAGGCACCGACTTCAAAAATATCTGATTAGGTATCTATTCTAAATGAAAACCCCCGTTTAGTTATTTTTTACAATTTTAAAAAATATATTTATTGTTGATTCTTTTGAAAACCGCTCGACCGATTTCGATAAAATTTATATGGGATTATATTAAAAAAAAATCCAAATCGGTTCAGGCGTCGTCGAGTAATCGGTGAACATACATAAAAAAAAGATTCCGACGATTGAGAACCTCCTCGTTTTTGGAAGTCCGTTAAAAAGACGTGAACAAGTTGACGAAGAAACATTTTATTTATTGCTCAAGTGAAGAGAATGTAATTAGTAACTCAGGTAACTAGGATGTTCGTTGTAACTTAAAACTTTATTCGGTTGTAAATTTTTGAAAAGAAATGTGACATGAGACGAATCACGTAATGGCCTTTTTAATAAAATAATAGGTAATACATTTACCTGTTATCAACTATGTAAACCAATTAGCGAGTTCAAAATTTGATTTAACGACAAACAATCACTTATGCCCGATTTCATTAACATCCCATAAGCTACCACCTACGTATGGAATCCCATAGCTTAAAGTTCCGCCTAAACTAGCCCCTAAATCAAATTTCGTTTACCATCGTCAGAGCCTGTATTTCTAGTACCTATATTTAGATGCATTTTTTTTAGGTGACCCCTAACTGTCGGTGAAACAGAAAGTGTCCCCTAACAGCCCCCTAAACATGCTTAGGGGATCCTTTAAACTGAGGTGACGTTGGTGAAATCGGCCATTAATATTTTTTTAAAAGCGGCTGTTATTTTTTTTTTCTATGATCTAGGTGAGCTTACATATTACATAGCTTTTGTATTTCGCTCAAACTAAATCGTCAATAGATGAAAGTACTGAAATTAGCACATAGTAAGGACTGCAGACTAACCGTAGACGTGCAAGTCGTCACGGTTAAACGCATATAATGTTTGTTTGCGTACTTACGACAAGGCGAGTGTGCCTCGAATAATGAATTTAATGACACATTTTATCGTCGCCATCCCCTTTGAATATCTGTCAATTTTAAAGAGCCAAGTATTACGATTATCGTTTCAATGCAATGAAGATGTCTAACTAACCCTGTAAGATAAATACTAATAATACATATATATATATATATATATATATATATATATATATATATATACACATGATAGTGTTTATTGCTGACATGTGATCAACAATGAAATATTGTAGATTACAAATGCAGAAGTTTACAATGGTTTTATTTATTACTTTTACAATAATTAATACATATATTATTAAATAAAAAGTACTAATTAATCATAACGATTGTCATAATATACTTAAAGATAAATTAAACACTTATATATACTTAGAAAGGATTAAAACACGTTACAAACACGTATCCACTATACATAAGGCATTGCGCTCCTGGAGCCTGCAGTGGCGATGAGGGGCCAGAGAGAGCGATGACTGCTGAGACGTCTAGAGAGTTTAAATTACCTGCCACATCTAGTAGCGCCGCCGACAAGAAAATTTCATTAAAACTGCATTCTACGGCAGCTGTTATACTAGTATCTATCTTCATCATTACTTGCTACTATACAAATCGAATGTACTTTAGATTGAATACCTGATTGCACATTTTTTGCTGGGCATCGATCGTGCTTTAATTCAAGTGTATTGCCACAGTAATCTCAAATTCATGACTCGTACAAAACTTTTAATAAACATTTATTTATTTGTCTACTTCGTATTCCCCTCATTTATTGCTATGTAATAACCATAGCGAGGGCAAAGGCTGGTTTAAATAGAATCATTCTACGCCTAAACAATTGATTGCGCACTACAGGAAACATGGCCAAATAACAATTTTGTTACGTGAACCACTCGCTATTTATACGTAGACATATTATTCTAAGTATTTGAAGTGTCGCGTCACAATGTAAGCGAAGCGCGTCTAGACAGACTACAGACGAATTTTTAATATGGACTCGCTCGCGGTCTCTGGCTAGGTAGGCAACTATGTAATACGTGCAAATTAATCACTCTTTCGCCGTAACATTAATTAAAAACACGTCATATTCCTACTCATACTAGCATTGCCCGCGGTTCCGCCAGCGTTCAAATCACTAAAAACCAAATTCTTAAGTTTTACATATTAGTATACTCTTAAATTGCAGTTTTTGTATTTTTTCTCAGAAATGAAATATTTTCCCGCAGTAAAAAGTATCTTATATGTTGACCCGGATAACCAGCTACCATCATACTAAATTTCATCAAAATCCCTCCAGTGGTTTTTCCGTGATGAGGTAACAGACAGACAGACCGACAAAAAATCTAAAAACTATAGATTCGGCCTCTGTATCGATAATATTGTATATTACAATAAGATTTTCCAAAAAATATTTAATGTAAAGATTCGATTTAGTTACAATTTTATTATATGTATGGATTAGTAAGTAAGATCTGAGACAGAGTTAAGAAAATAATGTTAAATTTAATTATTAAATTATAATAAAAGTAACACTTTGTAACTAGTGACTACTATATTTATATGATCTCGAATGAACAAATTTGTTAAACTAAAATCTTAAAGCTGACTACTTTAGTTATATATTTAGGTTTATAAAACAGAACGGCATTATTAATTTAATTTATTAATATGAATCAGCATATCACAAAGCATGCGCAATTACCGTGCGGATTGAACTTCAAACCGTGTGGACTTCATTAGCATATCTTTCTAATCGCGTGTTAACTAACATCTATGAGTACGACGAGAAATCTAATAATAAATTTTTGATGATTACCACGCAATAAACCGATTTTTTATCTTTAATGTTTTGTTGCCACAAATTTACCGCTGTCTGAATTTTAAATCAAATTAATTTCATATTTTATTAACACGATCTTGGTTTAATTTGAAAAATGAAAACTCGCTTAATACGTATAGGTAATATATCAAACATACAACGGCGAATAATAACTTGGTATATAAAACTCATGTATTTATTCCCACGGGAACGCTTTAATTTTTCGGGATTAAAAGTACTTATCTAAAATGTTCACCGGGGATAGGTAGGTAGGTAGGAAGGTACTATGCAAAATTTCATTTAAATCGGTCCAGTTTCGGAGATTAGCTTGTCCAAACAGATAAAGAGATAAACAGACAGAGAAACAAAAAAAATGAAAAAAAACTGGATTTGTTCTATTTCTCTTCTTACACCCCTGACTTGGTTTAAGGTTGTTAGCATTTTTGTACAGACATTCGACCTGCACAGTTTTATTATTTGTATAGATATCGATTGGGGCGAGCTTTTGTAGATATCTATCCCATGTAAAACTGAATGTAAAAAAATGCAAGTTTCACTATGCAGTTCTTCTACCATATTTTTTTTTGATATCTAATGTAAAACCAAGTTGATAATTTATTCAGTACCTATAGAATACAACAGTTCGATTCTGAATAGGTGTGTCTATAACATGTATATATAAATATACATGTTATAGACACATCTATACAGAATCGTCTATCTGACACTTTTGTCATTACCTGATTAGTTAAATAACAACATTTTATAAAGATCGTATGAATATTAGGTTTTTTTTTTTAAATATAATGACTTGGACA